CATTGCAAGTGGGATTAAGCCTGTTAATTGGTTGCAAGAGAGATCAATTTCAGACATGTAACCAAGAATGTTGCCTTCATAAGTGTAAGACCACCACTTGGTAACAAGTTCTATCTGATCTTGTATATACCTATCCAATTGTGTATATACCTCGTCCATTAATCTAGCTTCCATTTCTGTGGATGTGTCAAAGTTAAATGTTGAATATATGCTAATAACACTCCATGATGAAAATGAATTTGGAGCGCCAATTAAATGTCCCAAACAAGAAGGTATATGACCAGAAAGTTGATTATGAGACAAATCCATGATTCGTAGTTGGTCCAACTCACATATTTCATTTGGAATTTCACCAAAAAAGAGATTGCCTTTTAGACACAAGATAGTCAAGGAAGAAAGGTTGCTGATCCATTTTGGAATGCTTCCAGAAAGGTTGTTTTCTCCAAGATCTAGTATCTCCAATAAAGAGATGTTCAAGAATGAATGTGTTAGTAGACCATTTAGTCTATTTTTGCTCAAATAGATATGTGACAAGTATGGTGAGGATGGACTAGACCAATGTGGTAGAGACCCAGATAAATTGTTGTGAGATAGGTCAAGAAGCTGAAGGTTAGCATTATAGCAAAATTCCTCTGGAATTGAACCATCAAAGTGATTGTTGGATAAATCCAATTCAAACAAATGAAGGAGATTCTTTGTCCATCTTGGAAGCTTTCCTGACAAATTGTTGTTGCTAATGTCCAATGTGTTTAGATATGAGGGCCTAGAAAAGTGGACATCGGATATCTCTCCTTCAAAATTGTTTCTGTCCAAATACAATGCACCCAATGATTGAGACTTAAATACACTAGGAGGTATTTTCCCAATCAAGTTGTTATTTGAAAGTCTAAGATAAAATAATGATTTTCCTATAGCAAACTCTTTTGGTAATGTTCTAGAGAATTGGTTGCTAGACAAGTCTAAAAATTCTAAAGAGTTCATACTAACCAACCACTTAGAAAATCTTCCTCCAAAGCCATTTCCAGACAAGAATAACCATGTTAAATATGGAAAAATCATACTGGTATTTAATGGGATTTCACCTTGTATTTGGTTATTCGAAATATCTATTTCCCAAACATCAAGATTAGGTTGTGATGGCAAGTGGAAAGAACCCATGAAAGAATTGTTCTTCATAATAGCAACCTGTAATCTCGTATTATTTTCAAACAACCAATGAGGTAAGGCTCCCATAAATTGGTCAAATGAAAGATCAACATATCTCAATTCATATAGATAATAGAGAAGGCTAGGAGGTTTAGTGAGTTCCTCATTTGCCCTACAGTTTGACAAACTAAGGACTCTTGGCTGGAACTTGGGAACCCTTGTTTGAACATGATCATGTTCTGGAACCAATTGATTGAAATCACTGAAGAAGACTTTAAGGTTGGAATGGTTTGCAAATGACTTGAAGGAATCTGGAACTTGAAATTTATTAGTAGAAATTGAGAGATATCGGAGCAAAATAAGATTAATTAGGGGAGAAGACGCAACATTTCCAGTGAAATGATTTTGGGAGATATCCAAAAGTTGAAGAGATGTCAAGTTAGCCAAGCAAGAAGGTAGTATCCCTACCAATTCATTTCTAGAAAGATCCATCTCTTCAAGGTTCTTCAAATCACACCAACCATGAGTTGGTAAGGTTCCTGTGAATCCACATTTTCTTAGAGATATTGACCTGAGAGAAGTCAATGCACCAATATTTTGCAGAAGGTTTATGCTAAGAGGGGATTGATCCAAGAAAAGTTCCTCTAGATTGCTCAAAACTTGCGAAGCTGTAAAATGGTTATCATATTAGTTGTGAATATGTGTATGCTAAAAAAAAAATTATGAGCATATAGAAATTAATATAAAAAACTCAAGCAATAATATTGTAGAATGCCATCTATGTAATACTTACTTTGAATAAACATGGTTTGGTTTAGATGATAGTTATATGCCAAATAGAGTCTCTTAAGTGATGGGAATGCCTCTAGTGATAACTGTGCTGGCACATTGCTTTCCTCGGGTGATATTCCACTAAGATAAAGAGTTTCTAACTTGGTAAAGCTTGTATTTGCTGTGGATGATAAAAAGAAAATGAAGATCATGTTGAAGAGTTTTGAACAAAACATATAATTAGTTGAAAGATATGTCTCTATCAAAACAAAAATTAAAACAAACATAGAGTCACAATATCATTTCATTGATCCATTAGTGGAAACGAATTGGTTGAGTTCGTTGTAGCTCATTTGTAGCTCTTCTAAGCATCTTAAAGCATCAAATTTTAGGAGAACCACAAAAAAGTTTATTAGATCACACATAAGTAACAAATAAACTGCTTTCAACGTTTTAGCAAGAAAGAAGAAAAGATTAAAGTATGCCTCAACTTACTTGTGACATCTACTAATCCTTTTAGATTATTAACTTCTATATTCAGGGATTTTAGATTTGAAAATTCATTGACGGAAGATAGCACACTATTGTTGAAGAAATTATAACTCAAATCAAGGACCTCTAGATGGACAAACCTTAAATTTTGTTCATTTGCCAAAAATATATGATCTCATTACAATCAATTTTGTTAATATTAAATATTAACTTAGAAAACAAATTAAATATATGTACCTTGAGAAGATTCGAGGCTTTCAATGTCATTCCAGCTTATATCTAACACCTTTAAGTTTCTCAGATTACTCAATTCTGTTTAAGCTCATCATTAAAATAAAAGAATGAAAAATATGTTTAATTCTAGTAAAATATTACAGGATAACACAACTTTTTAAGGGAAAAGATATAATGAAAATGAAAACGGGTGAAAGCAAGCTTAATTACCTCTTGTACTCAAAGTGCCATTTAGTCTACAATTGGACAAGATTAGAGTTTTTAGAGATGAAAAACTACTTAAGTATGATAGAATGTTGTTGTTCAAATCCTTATTATCACTTAAGTCGAGAAATTCCAGATGGTGAAATCTTGACAGCTTTTCAAAATCAGCTCCTACAAATTACAATTTCAGAACATAAAGTCTTTATTTAAAATGATAAATATTATATCATCTCTAATAAACATATAATAAAGTTTGTTAAATTTTTACCGTCTCTATGGTTTGATGCTATCATTAAGTTGCAGCGTCTCAAACTCAAAGACTTGAGAGATGGAAGCTCACCCAAAAATGTTAAGATATTAATATTTAAGTCATTGTGACTAAGATCAAGGATTTTCAAATTTCTCAAATTAGAAAACCTCATGAAACCTGCAATATAATTTTTTGCAACTTATACAAGTTAGTTATGGGTTCAATTTTGAGAATAAAAGAAATATAAATTGCAAGAGTAACAAAAAGGAAATGGT